ATAGTTTTATTCCATTCAGTATTTACAACCTGTCTTAATTAGCCCAGTCGTAGCAGAACAGTAGGACGTTAAACCCCATTACATTTTATTTGTTGTCCAGAAAGGTCTTCATTATTCCAGTCAGAGCATAACTGTAGGATGTTAGATCCCATTTCATTTCAGAATTTATAAACTATACATTTATAAACTATGAAAATTTGCCAATATTTCGTCAATCTCTGCAAAACGAGATATAGTTAAAACAAACCAGGGCCACCTATAATCTTCTATAAAATTTTTGATTGAATCCAAGCCTGTAGATTATCTACTGTTTATATTTTTAAAGGAAAGGTTGTAATGTAATTAATCAGTCTGTAATTGTACAACATGTGCTACGAGTGAAATTTTGCCCGGACAGCGGCGCTATGGCCTACTCTTATATCGAATTCCAACTGCCAAGCGATTTTTTACATGCACACCAATATATACACGGAACCTTGGTTTTTCGTCCCAACCAAACAACTATACAACTGTTCTTGTCGGGCCCTCTGTCCTGCACCACTGACAAGGGGAAACCGCGCCGGAAAATCTTGATGACCTTTCTCGGCCAATGTCGAGATCGAAGCCGCTTGTACCATAAATAGATGGTCATTATGTAATATATTTTAACACCATGCATAAATCTGGGTGTGGTTAGTTGTTATAATTTAATTACAGTATTTCTACTTGAATGTTTTATTGACTGCACTGACAGCTTGTTATATTAATAATAAGCTACATTTGTTAGAAATATTTTCAATATTGGTTGCTATTTGTTGGTGTGTAACAGCTTTCTTGTATTTACTGGGTTATTTTAACAGAAGTCATATATACCGGTTAATCGTATCAAGAGTTTTATTTCACATACCAGATATCTAGGTTTTATCGGTACATATACCAAATACAACAGATGGTTATTAGGTATATAGGAGATCGGCAAAGTTAGAAACCTGTCTTCATTTGCCTGGTCGGTGCAGAAAAGTATGATGTTAAACCCCGATTTGTTCATTCATTCAAATGAGAAGTGGTATCCAGTGTTCTAAAGAGAGTAAGCATATCCTGTCTTGTGTAATAGATCTGTGCTGTCACATGGTTTCGTAGTAGTTGATGAGGCGGCGGAAATATATAGCTTAGATTTATCTAATCAAGGGTGAATTGTCGTTTAAATGTTTGTCTTAAAGCCTTTAATGTATACCTGAAATGTTCTTATTAAAAGTTCAGTTTTCACTTGGAATATATGGAAGGTTTTACCACTTGAAGTTGAAATATATGGAAGGTTTTAACACTTGGAATATATGGAAGATATTATTTAGAAAAGTTAAAATTGTGAGTCATGAGATAAATATGATTATTAAAGAAAATTATTTATATATTTCCACCAGATGCGATTTACACTGATTAAACGTGACTTGTAGATTACCGTGTTAAGTATAAAATAGGAATTATGTTGTAGATAAATCATGAGTTAAGATCTACCCCTAGCTAACTAACTTCCTACTAACTGGTACAGTATACAGAATTCCTATATTTATCTCCAACTAGAAAACACTTATATAAAATCTTTACTTCAACTCAAGTAGTTTTCAAGAGAGACTGATTAACAATGGTCAGGTCAGATATTTGTTTGTTCAGGATAGCAAGCGTTTGTATAGTAAGTGATATTTGATGTTCCAGAAAGTATAGGAGCCATGTTGGCACAGTGATTAAGGTGCTTGCTGACTAACCAGGAGATCCAGGGTTTAAGTCGGGTGTAACTGATGAAGTTCCATAGGAATTTCCAGTCTGGTCCCTCCTTTTTCCGTGGCACAGAAAAGGGAATGGAGAACCTGGTAATGAAGAACATATAGTCATTCAGGGGTCCTGTGTAAACATTGATGTGTGGTGTGCATGTAAAAGAACCCTTTGCAGTTCTAAATTCAAGGAAGAGTAGATGGATACTTCACTGTCCAGGCAAAATTTTCCTCATATATGATATTGCATGGTTTATCATCGTCTTGATTAGCCCAGACGGTACAAAAAAGTAGGATGTTTAAACCCATTTCATTTCACCGCTCTTGAGTTAGTTGTAACGATAATAATGGGCCAGGCCTGGAAATAACAGTTAGGATGTACTTGACAAAATGTCAGACACTACTGAAAGATTACCTGACATTTTCAACTTGGTGCTGGACATGTATTAATAATATCAATAAAAAAGACAAATCAGTGCCGGACAAAATAACAGGCACCAGAGGTTTTGTGCCTGATAAAGTCTGAATCTGTGCCTGACATTGTCAGTGACAGGTGTCTTATTTCCAGGCTTGATAATGGGTTAGTTTTTGAGAGACTTAATTTTTAATTTGAAATTGGATTAGTTTGATTGGTATAATGATCACGTTAATGGAAGCCAAGTTAAAGTTTATATAAAGTAAGTTTAGATTCAGATCGCATGTGTTTCTTGATTAGAAAATCTATGTTTGGAATATAGACACATTTAAAGATAAAAGTATTTTAAATGGGTAATAGATAGAAAGAGCCAATATAACATCACACTATGAACTGCCATGTTTTTAGTCAAGTTAAATACGTGTAGATTGAGTTTCAAAGGTTATAAGGTAATCAAATATCCTTTTATAATTATAAAGCCAGGTATGTTATCAACCTTACTTGAAAGAAAGGAAATAAGGTGTAACATTTAACTAATTTACTGATTTTACAGGTCAAAGGTGGGTTTCACATTTTAAAGTTACGGATACACAAAATTGTACCTTGTGTTAATATGTTTAATTACTAAATGGAGATCAAAGAAAATAGGTACCAATAGTTTACAATAATCACTCAGCGGACCGTTTAGACTAAGTCCTGAAAAATTGTTATTGTCTGAAAAATGGAATTGATGAATAGTGAGTTTAACATTCAAATTTTGGTGTTGGATGGATGAATGGTTAGCATGTGTGCATTGTATTATGAGGTATGTCATTGAGTCAACTGGTGTGGTTTCGATTCCCCGGTTGTATGCCACCTGTCCAACCTCATGGGTTTTCTCCTCCCACTGCCAAAGATTCCTGTTGAAATAAAATTGAACTATATTTAAATCCCGAAATGACCAAGTTTGTGTCAAGTGGGCGTTAACCCCTCTCTCTCTCTCTCTCTCTCTCTCTCTCTCTCTCTCTCTCTTTCTCTGTTTTCATTGTGGTACTTCACAACGATTCCATTCAGATCAGATTTTTCAATGGGAATTTTTTGTAAAAATTTAAAAGAAAGAGAAAACCTTGTGTCGTAACTTACAAAGATTATTATTGATTTCTTTGTTGATCAATCATGTTTTATCAAGACAGTGTCTAGTCGTTCAGATGGGATGAAAAACTGAGGACCTGTGTACACATTGGAGTGCACGTACAAGAACCCTTGCCAGTTGGAATTCGAAATTAGAATAGGCTGTAGCTGTCAGGGCAAAAATTTCACTCATAACACACTCTATGACATATGCCCATCTTCATTAGCCCAGTCAGTGCAGAAAAGTAGGATGATAAACCACATTTCATGTTTTATCAATGATCGTTTGATTTGTTATTTCTGTATTTTGAGAGAAATAATTTGATGGTAAAATTGTTTTATCTGCCTTAGTTTAAATTACGTCTATTGATAGCAGAGTTTGAGTGTTTTAAGAAAAGTGTTTTATAGATAAAATGATATAATATTTATCTTGATTGATATTATGTCTACAACAAGTTATTTTAAAATGGAGTAAAACTTAAGGTGGTTGTCATTAACTTATCTCTAGTAGATTATAGTAAATTGACTTGGGTCTATATCAGATGCGTAGTTTGAAGGAATTATTTGCCATATCTGTTGAGTAAGTATTCTGGTGGCATGGGATAGGATTCCCCATGTAATGGGATTATTGCTTGAGTAAAAGACTCAGAAATTTGTTAGTATAGTGTATTTATATCTCTCGTTATTAAGTTTAGTTTTCTCAGGTGCGATGATTAGAGAAGTTTGAAGTTATTGTTGAGTTTCGTTGAGTTCTCTACGTTTCTAAGTTTATTTACAGAATATCCGTCTTGGTTAAAACGTTAACAATGTTTCTTTGTAGGTAAAGGATTAACTTGAAAGAATAGAAAATTATTTTAGGAACTGAAACTGTGACTAAATTCAAAATATTTTAACTAGAAACTCGTCAAGGAATTAAACAATCTGTTTCTTTGTAGGGAAAGGATAAATTTAAATGAGGAGTAAATTGTATTTTAGAATAAAACAATCTGGTTCTTTGTAAGGAAAGGATTAATTTAAAGGAAGAGAAAATTGTATTTAAGGAACTGAAACTTTGAGTCTGAATATTATTTCTAGAAAGGTAAGACGGAAGCTCTAGAAAGATGAATGAATGAAATAGTTCTACTATATATACAAGCTGTGTTATTGAAGTTAATTATTTATATTGAAGTCTACATGCTGGAATTGGATACAGCTTAATAACATATAGTAGGAGCCTGTTCTGATAAAAATCTATATGTACAGACGAAGGAATTTAAACTAATGTGTTTGATGGGAATTCCATTGTTGAAAAAACTAAACTAGCTTGTAGCCTACCTTCATGAACCATTGTTGGAAAAAAAAATAATTTCTTACTAGTTGATGAATTCCATTGTTGAAAAAACTAACTAACTTGTAACTTAGGTTCATGAGCTTTGTTGGAAAAAAACTTACTAGCTTACGAATTCCATTGTTAGAAAAACTAACTTGTAGATTTGTGAAGCATTGAGTGTATTTTAGTCCAGCTGGATGGATGTAGGAGTTATGAACAGTGAATACTTAACTTAATTAGAATTGACATATTTTTAACTGTTCTTTTAGTTTGTGAACTTATGATAACTGTATTGATTCGAGACATTTTAAAAATATGAAAGTCATTAGTGAGGAGAAATTCTGAACTCTTAATTGTTTGCAGTTTCATGACTTCCATATTTTCCTTGCAATTTCCTGATTCCTTATTTTTCTTTCAGCTGGTTGAATTTAATAAGAAACTGTTCAAAATTTGATGTTTTGATGATGTGTTGAGTGTGGTAATTTGAAATATCATTAGAGAGGAGAATGGACAGAGAGTGTTAACGTGATAATCGTGGATTTAATTTGATTATTTTAACTGTTTACATATGGTAGGTTGTCTGTGCTGTGGTATATAGGAAGACTGTATACATAAGCTCTATAGGTGTTGTTTCTTCCTCTACATGTGCTAGGTCTAGGTAAGACTGATTCTAACTGTTAGACTATATACCAGCGTATCACTAGTTGTTACTACATCATTGGTTCCAGAAATACAAACACCACACTGTTTTGACAAGCAGCCAACTTTCGTCTGCTAAACACAGCACGACCAAGATGAGTTCCACATTAGATATAACTTGCCTGTCTGGCAGAAGGTATGGAAGATAGCGGCTACCCTACCAGTTTTTCTGACCAAGATTTAAAAATATCAGAAACTTGTTCCAAACTTTCTCAACCTGATGGAATATTCAGTCTTAATTTTAACGATCTTAAAACCTCACCGACTTATTCCTACCTTCAGCATGGCTTCGAGGATGAAGAGGATTTTGAGGATTTCAAACAAGAACTAAAAGATTTCCGACGATTGAAACATGAAGTGAATGAGGAACCGCAGAAATTTGAGATAAAAAATTTACAAAGGAACGAATTAAAACGATGTGAAATATCTAATTTATCAAAACACAGAGATAAAGGTGTAAAAAACAGTTACTATGACAACATAGGACACGCAGATTTTAGTGGATTTCGCGAATTACCAGTGTCACATTTTCCTAACAGAACGTCCAAAAGTTCTCGCGATTTTAAAAGAATTTCCGACGCGTATAATCGCCGATCTCGGAGTGTAGATTTAGGAGAAACTGCACATCTTTCTCAGGAGCTCTATGATCCTAAATTCTCGAGTTTAGCGAGAAAAAAACTTCAGGACGATTTTCAGGATTTTAAACTTTCTAACTTGTCCGGATTATCGTGTCGTCGGAAACGAGAAAAGTACAATATGGATCCTTTGACTTTTGACGATCATTTTCAGGAATTTGAACGGGTATACGAGACAATCCACAGTCGTAGGACGTCTGAGGATCTAGAGAAATATCGTCCAATGGATGATTCGGACGACGATGATGATGACGATGAAGTGCTAAGTAAAGACAAACGTGGACGATTGATGCGACCGTCAAGTCGTTTCAGTTCAAATTCGTCATTAAATGACGTATTTTCAATTGATTTTGACGAAGCTTTTTCGGACTTCTTCAACACGGACGAAGATTTTGTGGAGTTTGAACGTGAATTTGAACGTAGTCGATTGAATCGTAGATCTCGAACAGTCCATGATTTTAAACGTATGTCGAGCTGTGATATATTTAGTGATGTGAAATCCTACTGTGATAGAAACAAGCCGTCTGTTATCGTGGAAAAACGACCTTCGTTACCCTGTAACATCCTTGAAACGGAACAGAACTTTCCGGGTTTACCGGACAAAAAGACTCGAGATACGAGCAGTATAAATATGTGGAACTCTTTAGAAGATTGGGATTATGTGCTAAATAAGTTAAAGCGAAACAGTCGATTATTTACCGATACTTCTGAATTCTGGGATACGTGTCAGGGTACGAGTGGATCTAGTCGATCGGACAGATTGTCCGTGGAATGGTGTATGTGTCGTAAACCTAAAGGTAAGTTCAACAATACTGAAGTCAAATTATCTAATCATGTTAAACCTTATTGTCAGTTATTGAATTAGTAGCTGACATTTTTGGACATTGTATTAATAAAACCATTGATAAAAGACAAGGCACCAGCGGTATTGTATATTTATTCTATAACTACATGCAAATACAAGCAAATATTGAATACAGCCATTGAATAACCTATGACGTCACCACTAGGCAACTACAATATTTTTAAAAAAGAAAGAAAAAAGGGTGGAACCTGTGATGAATTTGAACGTTATTGGTGATAGTCATTGAGTTCTATCTATTTATTACCTAGTTGCTTATAGATTATCATTTGAGAAATGAGTTTCAGATAGACTGAAATTTTTACCAGATACATTTAGTTAAAAACTGAACCATAATAAACCAGGAATAAAAACATAAACACACGTCTTCCAGATGCACTTACAGCCAGATACTGGTATATATCTTTTTACCCACTTTAAATACATTTATCATAAAATAAGACAAGGAAAAATCATTATAGATGTAGACATTGTGAATATAATAAATATTTATATTTATATTTAATAAATATACAAATTACAATTCTTCTTCATCTCTATACAGGGGGGGTTGGATGGCTGAATGGTTAGCACGTGCGCGCTGTATCATAAAGTCTGTCATTGAGTCGACTGGCGTGGTTTCGAATCCCCGGTTGTACGTGACAAGGAGTAGGGTCGCCTGTCCAACCTCGTGGGTTTTCTCCGGGTCCTCCGGTTTCCTCCCACTGCTAAAGACCCCTACGCGCAAGCGAATTATGTAAATAAAATTAAACCATATGTTAGTCCGGAAATTACCTAGTTTGTGTCGAGTGAACGTTAAACCCCATTTCTGTCTGTCTGTCTATACATATAGTACATACAACACATTTGGTAGAAATGTCCTGAAATTCCTGAAAATGATCATTTATGTGTTGGTAAGATTTTATTGATTTTACTGGTATGTTATTATATCAGATAGTTTGTAGATGTTGTGTATATCTAAAGGGCGTAGTTTATAAGTATAGGTAACATCACAGCAATCTGTATATTTATATGTTCTAGAAGACCGATTAAAAACTATTTGATGACATAATGATAACACATCTTTAATGTAGAACAGCCCAATAACCCATCTACAACTTCCTCAGTCTTATAAACCACAACATTTCTCAAATATAGAGTTTTCAAACTCTGATTCTTTGTTTGTTACATAACCAAACTAACAGTTGTTTACAATAAGTGATGTAATATAGATATAAGTAATGGTTGTTATTCAAGAATATTGCAAGTACGAGAGCTTCAACTGTCAGAAGGTACATATTAAAAAATTAGTGGGGAGCTGTGTGGGCTCAGTGAATAGGACATTGGCTCACTGGTCTGGAGGACTCTGGTTTGCTTCCAGTGTTGGCTAAGACAGTTCCTATGGATTTTCTGGCGTTGTGTCCCCTTGTCATTGGTGCAGGACGGACAGCCTGACAAGCACAGCCGTCTAGTCGTTCAGGTGTGACGTAAAAACCAAGGTCCCATGTACACAGTTGGAATTTGGTATAAGAGTAGGCTGTGGCGCTGTTATCCGGATAAAATTTTCCCCATAGCACACTGCATTGTGTATGCCTAGTTACCGTTGCTGCTGAAAAGTAGGATGTTAAACCTCATGTCTAGGTTCATAAACTTTTCATATATTTTAAAGAAAGCGAAATGAGTCAGATTATGACCTAAGAAACAATGTTTTGAATGTTGTGGGTAGGGCTGTTACTGAATCAAATACTTGTCACGATTTCATATCAACCTTGTGAGAGAGTTTGACAGGTTGATAATACAATAACATTGTATGTTAGAGTCTTGATATTTTTATGCACTTTGTAAGGATATTTCTATGGTTACGTAAGCTTAAGAAATAGAGAATTTGCCTTCGACAGTACCGTTTCTTCAACTGTAAAAAGCTCTTAAAAATATCAAAAATTCCCAGCGAAGGTTCTCTCAGCAACCACCCTATTGCGGCATAATATTTATCTAAGCAATATTTTAGTATATTTCGTATTTCTGAAAGGGGACATGGGGGTAAAGGCTGAACAGCTTTCTTTCTTAGCAAGGAAAAAGTCATGGAAAGACTTTAAACTACTTGCCTTAATACCTGTAACTACCTACAGTAGACCAACCATCTGTCTGCTCTAAAACACATTTGCCTTAATCACCTACAATATAATCTATTACCTGGTCTACTTTACCTTGAAATACAGTCATACCTGCTGGTCTTCTTTACCTTGAAATACTTACAGTAATTGTATCTGAACCTCACATATAATATCTTTATTCAATGCTATCAGTGAGTAAGATGCTGGTTTGCTGACCTGGAGGATGAGAGGATGAGGACCTTGCTGACCTGGAGGATGAGGTTCTATGTTCCATCTCAGTTTTGGCAAAAAAAGTCCCTCAGGAATTATCGGTGTGTTTTCCCCATGTCAGTGGTGCAGGGCGGAGAATCAGACCAGGAGTGTTTCTAGTTGTTGGGATGGTATGAAAACAGAGGTTATGTGTACATAGAACCCTTGACAGTTGGAATTTATCAGATGGATAGTCTGTAGCGCCACTGTCTGGACGAAATTCCCCCATACCCCACTGCATAGCGTATGCCTGTCTTTATCGACCTAGTTGGTGCCGAAAAGTATGAAGTAAAACCCAATTTCATTTATTCAAAAGAAGTTAAATTTAATTTAATTTAAATTGTTGAAGATATATAACATATTTAATCACTTTTATCTGACAATTTACTATACAAAATAAAAGTTTACCAGTCTTTATCTTGCTAATACCAGTATCATGTTTCATTTCTAGTATCATTATCATAACTTTTTAATTAAAAATCAAATAATTTGGTGAAATGTGAGCTGATTTCTATTAAAATCTGATGATATAGACTTTTATCTTTTCTTATCATATTTTCTCTGTTGAAATTATAAAAGATAAGTGGACCCAGGGTTTTTACTGGGGCAGTTAATTAGTGACATTTTGTTTAGAACATGTTAAAAAGAATATGAAATTTTTTAGTATTATCCAAATTTTAAAATATATTTTAAAGTGTTTTTACATTAAACTATAAATGTAACTGTTATTATTGTGGATTTTAATTAATTACATTTAATATAGCACTCTTTACTGCAATATATGCATTCAATGGCTCTGTACAATTAATAGAATATATGATTAATTATGTAAATAAATATAAATTGACTGATAGGTAATGCTAGGTTCCAAAAATCACGATTCGCACTACGATTAAAATCGTGGTTTTAATCGCGGAGTAATCATGGTGATCCTATCAGGTCTTGTCATACATTGAGGTCAGTAGCAATCGTGTTAATCGTATCAAAACGTATCAAAATGTACGCGATCGTGGATTAAATAGAGAAAATCCTGTCGTAACGCATCGCACGACAGTGGAAACCTAGCATAAGTTTTAGAGCTGGACAATTGAACAGGATGGTGGCAAGAAAATTTCAGAAAGGATATACCAAGAAGCTGGTTACAACTACTAAAGTTATCAAAGTTTCAACTATCGGACAAATAAAAGGTTATTGTTTATATTCTTTTTGTTTGTGTAAACATGGCAGTTCTGAAATACATTATCACATCTTTTTAATCTATGAGAACTTTATTGAATATAAATGATAGACTATGTGTAAAACGACAAACATATATAATTATAGGTGGAGGGTTGGATGGCCGAATGGTTAGCGCTTGCACGTTGTATCATAAGGTCTGTCATTGAGGCAACTGGCGTGGTTTCGATTTCCCGGTTGTACGTGACAAGGAGTAGGGTCGCCTGTCCAACCTCGCGGGTTTTCTCCAGGTTCTCCCACTGCTAAAGACCCCTATGCGCAAGCGAATTATTGAAATAGAAATGAACCGTATGTTAGTCCGAAAATGACCTAGTTTGTGTCAAGTGGATGTTAAACCCCATTTATCTCTCTCTCTCTCTATAGAACATATAGAGTTATGATGTTTGTGTGTTTACCATAAAACATACAGTGTTATGATATGTTAGTGTGTTTACCATAGAACATACAAAGTTATGATTATGTTAGTCGAGCATGTGGTATTAGTGAGATATTAAACGACATTCCTCAGCTCTCTATTCACATCAATATTTTTAAATGTTTATTGTGTGAAAATGTCATAAAACTTCATTATTGATAAAACAAATGAAATAGAAACAACTTGTCATTGTCATTACTGACACGTCACTGCCAACTATGATGATGTGATTACATTGTTTAGTGCCATGCCATCTTCAAGTGGATCTGTATTTAGAAACAAAGAATAGTTTCTGTAATGTACATCACTATGAATTATTGTAACGGTAGTGGTATTGGCTTGATACCAGAATCTGTCACTGTATTTACCTATAATGCACATGCACTGAACATGGGTCATGGTTTGGCTGTAGGTGTTAGAAAATATTAGTGGACGGATTCCAAAATTGCTTCGCTGCATTTACAAATATGGACTGAAGATCACCCAGGCAATTCTATTGACATTAGATCCAATGCCACTCAACTAATTCTTGTGCAAAACAATTTGTTTAGATTCTGTCCACTGATTTGGGGTGAGTGGTATAGGATTTAATGTCTTTAGAATAGTCTAGTTTACTTTCTGTCCATTGTTGTAAATTTGATGTGTGGGGGGGGGGGGAATTAAGTCTTTTTCTGATTTGTTTTATTTAGAGTAAAACTTTTAGCATTTGATTTTTGGTTGTGATCTAAGTTCTACATGTGCTTTCAAAGTAAAGATTGTTTTTTTAACCAAGCATGATGACCTAGTATCCTTCTGTTCCCTATTGTAGTTCCTTTGTCTCCCTGTAAAGATTGGTAGAGGTTGGGGGTTCCCTGATGTGATCTGAATATCTTATTTCATCCCTTCTTCCCAGTCTTCATCCCCATTCAGGAAGGTCTCTTTGTCTACCTGTAAATGTAACTC